GAGGAGAGAGAATGGAGAGAGAGGAGAAGAGACAGACAGACGGAGAGAGGAGAAAGAGGGAGAGATGGAGAGAGAGAGAGAGAGAGAGAGAGAGAGAGAGAGAGAGAGAGAGAGAGAGAGAGAGAGAGAGGAGAGAGAGAGAGAGAGAGAGAGAGAGAGAGAGAGAGAGAGATGGGAGAGGGAGAGATGGAGAGAGAGATTGAGAGATTGAGAGATTGAGAGATTGAGAGATTGAGAGAGAAAGAGAGAAAGAATGAGTGAGAGAGAAAAACATTAAAAAAGAAAACGAGAAGAAATTACTTATCAAACATGAAATAACAAAAACAAACAAACAAAAAACAGACAAAAAAATAAAAAATCCCAACATCAGGAAACGAAAGAAAAAAAAAAAAAAAAAAAACAATACAAACAAGCAGACAAACAAACAAACAAAACAAACATACATATTCCCCATTACCATGGTGACCCCCCCGTCCTTTCCTTCCCCCCCCCCCCCCCTCCCCCCTCACCCTTCCCCGTCCAACATCGTCCCCCCCCCCCTCCCCTCCCTCCCCCCCTCCCCCCCGCCTCTGCAAACACTACCATGATGGCAATAGAGCCCCCTCCCACCCCCTACCCCCCTACCTCCTCCACCTCCCCCCCGGGCCTCGCCTCTGCAAACACTACCATGATGGCAATGGTGCTGATGAAATGAGCAGGAGGAGGAGGAGGAGCGAGGAATGGGAGGAGGACCTGTCACCACATGAGTCATCCTCGAGTTCATGGTAGCACAGGTGTCAGGTTGCGAGGACCAGCTGGGATGACGTTACCCGGCCTACCAAGGTGTGAAATAAGGGAGGAAGGAGGGAGGGGAGGGGGTGGGAGGGAAGGGTGGGAGGGGAAGTGGGAAGGGGATAGTGGGGGGGCGGGAAGGGGATAGTGGGGGGTGTTGAGGGTGGGGGTTGGGATTAGTGGGGAAAGGGGTGGGTTGAGGGTGAGGGATAGTGGGGGAAAGTGGGGAGGAGGGAAGGGGGAGGGGGGGGTGAGGGGAGGGACAGTGGGGGAAGGGTGGGTTGAGGGTGGGGGTGGGGATAGTGGGGATGGGTTGAGCGGTGGGGGTGGGGGAAGGCGTGGAGGGGGTGGGTGAAAGGGGAGGTAGTGGGGGTGGGCTTGGGGTGAGGGGGGAGAAGGGTGGCGTTGAGGGTGAGGGTGGGATAGTAGGGAAGGTGGTTGAGGTGGTGGGAGAAGCGCGTGGGTGAGAATTGAGGTGTGAGTTCAGGTGAGGGATTATAGAGGGGGAAGGGGGGTTACACGGGGTGGGCCACAGTGGGAGAAGGGGGACAGTGGCAGGTGGGTTGAGCTGGAGGTGGGGTTGGGGAGAAGTGCTGGAGGGGAGGGTTGAGGGTGAGGGTGGAGAGGAAGGGTGGGTGAATTGAGGGTGGGTTGAGGGTGATCGGGACTATTAGAGGAGTAAGTGTTGGGAGGGGAAGGGGCTGGGTTTACGAGGCAGGGATGGGCTACAGTGGGGGAAGGCGGACAGTGGGGTGGGTTGAGGTGTGAGGGTGGAGGAAGGGTGGAGGTTGGGGTGATGGGCAAGGATGGCCTTCGGTGGGGAGGGGCAGTTGAGGGTGAGGTACGAGGAGGAAAGATGGAGAGAGAGAGAGGATATAAAATAGATTGATGGGGTATACACGGACGAATGGGGTGGTGGAAGGAGGAGAGGAGGAGGGCGAAGGGATGAGGGAGAGTGGAGAGAGAGAAAGGAAGGGAGGAAGGAGAAATTGAGGAAGGAGGAGGGGTAGAGAGGAAAGAGAGAAAGGGGACGGAGAGGGAGATGGAGAGAGAGAAAGGGAAGGGAGGAAGGAGGAAGGAGAGGGAGAGAGAAAGAGAGAGAGGGGGGATGGAGAGAGAGAGGAAAGGAAGGGAGGGGAGGAGAGATGAGGAGAGGTTAGAGTTAAATAAGAGAGGAGAGAGAGAGAGAGAAAAGAGGGGCAGGGCCAGATGACAGACCGAACAAATAGAGACAAAACCGAGGAATAGAGACACCCCCCCACTTTTTAAAAGGAAGTCAGCCAAATAAACTGATGTCGAACAGAAACAGAAAAACGTAGGTAAAGAAGAGAAAGGTCCAAAGACAGCGTTAAAAGAGGAAAATAGATGAAGAATTAGAGAAAGAGAAGTAGATAGTCTCTTCTGAATGTCTCCTATGTTGGGCTGTCTATCATGTCTGGTCTGTCTTGCCTGTTTCAGTCGGTGACTTTCTTTCTTTCTCTCTTTTTTGCCTTTGATTGCTCTTTTCTCTTTATATTTTCTTTCTTTTGTTATCTTTTTTTCTTTTTTTCTGACTTCCTTTTTGTTTTTTTTTTTCTTTTTTTTTATTTTCCCTTCTTTTTTTCGGAGTTTCTTTCTTCTTCCTGCTCTGCTCTCTCTCTCTTCTCCACACACCCGCTTTCTCTCTGTCATCTCTTCTCTCTCTTCTTCCTCTCTCTCTCCTCTCCAGCCCCCCCCCTCTATCTCTGATTTCTCTCATCGCGTTCTCTCTCTCTCTCTCTTCTCTCTCTCTCTTCTCTCTCTCTCTTCGTCTCTCTCTCTCTCTCTCTCTCATTCTCGTCTCTCTTCTCTCTCTCTCTTCTCTGCTCTCTTCTCTCTCTCTCTCGTCCCTCTCTTGGCCTGCTCTCTCTCTCCCGTCTCTACTCGTGCTCTGATTTCTCTCTACTGTTACTCTTTGCGTCGGTCTCTCTCTTCTCCCTCTGCTTCTCCTCTCCCTCTCTCTTCTCTTCTTTTCTCTCTCTCTCTCTTCCTTTCTCGTCTTCCTCTCTCTCTATTCTATCTATCCATCCATCCATTCTATCTCCTCGGTAAAATCCCATCTACTGCGTAAGGTTTCTCTGAATATATTGATTGCTTGTGTTCATACTGATGTTTACATGTATGTGTGTTACAATACTTATTTGTTTCTTGTCGTGGAATGCACATTTAAATATTTACTGTATTGTGTGTGTTATTTTTGCATTCTGTGTGTGCAGTTTTAAGGTTGTATGTCATTGTACGTGTACGCATGTACGTGTATGCATGTAAATATATACATGTATGTTATACAAGTAGCGATGTATGCTTAGTACATGTATGCAATCTTACGTGTATGCTGTACGTTGTATGCTTAGTTACATGTATGGCATCTAACGTGTATGCATCTACGGTGTATGCAATCTACATGTATGCATGCTACGTGTAGGATACATGTTCGTGTATGCATTTTATGTTGTATGGCATCTACGTTGTATGGAGTGATGGGCTACGTGTATGCATCTACATGTATGCATGTACGTGTATACATGTACGTGTATGCATTTATGTGTATGCATCTACGTATATGCTTTACGGTGATATTGTATGTACGTGTATAACATGTACGTGTATGCATTTCTACGTTGATATGTAATGTACGTGTTGATATACATGTACGTGATGCATCTACGTGTAATATGCATCTACGTGTATTAANACTGTTACTATCATTATTCGATTCTGTTTCTTATTGTCATCAGTATTTTACTGTTGCTGCCAATCTTTCATTATCACTTACATCACTATCATCATGCGTGTGAGTTGTATGTATATTCAGAAAAATTCACATTTTAAATATCCTTCAACAACTATCTAAACATCCTTCTAGCATCACATTTTTTTTAAATAATAAAGCGAATAAACAACATTCACAAAAGGCCCTCCCATACTACCGTGTTCATTCCCCCCTCCCAGGCCCCATTCCCCCACCCTAACTTCCCACTCCCTCAGGCCCCCTACCTCCCGTTCCCCAAAATATCTTACCCAATGCCCTCACTCCCTTATCCCCCCCCACCCTAATTAACCACCCCTTCATGCCCCCACCTCCCGTACCCCTAACCCTTACCCAATGCCCTCACTCCCTCTTACCCCTACCCACCCCACTCCCCACCAAACCAATCATAAATCCAACCACCACACTCACCACTGACGAGGTATCCATCCGGGGTGACCTGCAGGAACTTGAGGTCAAAGGTCGTGACATCCTTCTCGCCGAAGCCCTCCGTGTCGGCCCCGCCCATCGTCTCCTTGACCAGCTCTCGATCCAGGTCAGGGTAGGACACGGTTTTCCTTCCTCGCCGCGCCAGGCATAGGATGACCAACACCAGCACTGGGAGGGAAGAGGACTTGGCGTTATGGTAGGAGGCTGGGGAAGGGGGGGGGGGGCGTTTTAAGATGTGTACGAGAGGGAGGAAGGAGGGAAGGACGAAGGAGGGAGGGAGGGAAGGAGAGAGGGAGGGAGGAGGGGAGGAGGAGGGAGGGAGGAGGGAGAAGGTTAAGGAGGAGGAGGGAGAAAGGGAGGGAGGGAGAGAGGGAAGAAGGGAGGAGAGAGGGAGGTTAAGGAGGAAGAGGAGAGAGAGAGTCAGAGAGATTGAGGGAGAGAGAGACAGATAGAATAGACATAGAAATAAAAACGTATATATATATCGGTTTACAGACAGAGTTTACAGACAAGTAAGAAAAGATGTATATACATATATATCTATGTGTGTGTGTGTATCTATGCATAAATATGATTCTATATCATACCCAGACGTAATATCATATCAGCAAAATCGCTTTAAAAATATACACATCCATCATCATGCTTCCGAGCCCCCCCCCCCCCCCCGCCCTTCCTGCAACAGACACTCGTTCGCCAGCCTTCGATTATTGCAAATAAACCGCATTACCACCAACGGCATTTCCCTAAACCGCGTAAATCATAACCGTCGGTCATGCGCAGCCAGCACTTCTATTACCTCCAAATTTATCCAGCAAAGCATCGTAAATTACGACCTTTATCCCGCTTGTAAATCTCTACGTCTTCGGCATTGAAAATCCGACGATCGACCGTGACTCAATAAATGATTTAGTGGTTGTTTGTCGCGAATACGTGGCGGTCACAGCCGCTTGTTCTGCGGTCTCGCTCTTCTGTCCGCTCTTGTTGCTCAAGGAGTTTCTTCTCCTATGTA